TCAACAAACAAATTTTCAGCTTCATTCAGAGTCAATTTCAACTTCACAGCGAATGATATTGGACTCGAGACAACACAAGCTCAACTTCACAGTGAAGGGGCGGCTGGCTGTCAATAAACAATTTCCCAGTTCCTGAGCCAATTTCAACTTCACGGTGGAGGATATTGGACTCGGAGCAATACAACTTACTTGGATTTCAACTTCACGACGAAGGATATCCAATTACCAGGCTCAACTTCACGACGAAGGGACCACCCGCGGTTTCAACTTCACAACGAAGGGAATCGTGCACACAAGTATCATCAATCTCTAGATTGGATTTCAACTTCACGACGAAGGATATCCAACTCAAAGAAGGAGTGTCTGTCAACAAACTTTCCAGTTTCAGAGTCGATTTCAAGTTCACCACGAAGGATATTGGCCTCGAAACAACGCAACCACCATTGGATTTTAACCTCACGACGAAGGATATCCAATTCCAAGACTCAACTTCACAACGAAAGGGCCCTATACGATTTCAACTTCACAAACAGATTGACCCAACTTCACGACGAATGAGTCATTTGTAACACAACAACACCAAGGTCTTCAGGTCAAGTTTCAGCTTCACGACGAAGTACCTTGAGCCGGAAGATGATCCAGGAGCTCATTTCTAATACTTTGAGTTCGATTTCGACTTCACGACGAAGGACTTTGTGCTCAGAAGTTTCTTTCAGTTTCGACTCAACCTCATAACGAGGGAGTCATTTCATGATTTAAATTAACAAACCAATTTCAATATCGGATTTCAACTCTACGGCAGGGATGTTCGATATAGACAAAATTTGTGTCTTGAAATCTTTGCTCCATTTTCATTACACGATAATGAGCAAATAGGGGCAGATGAAGACACCGATATTTTTCTTTTGATATTATATAATATATTTACATTATAACTTATATTATATAATAAGCTTTATTACATGTGGTGCACACACTTACACATTTATTTTGTTTACATTTGTGTCAGGGCCCAAATGCTAAAAACAAAGCCCGACAATGACCTAAATCCCATGTGACCCAGCTGCCCAACATCACGTACATCCCATATGGATTACGGTTTGTGTAGAACCCTAGCTTTCTCTTCCCTCGTCTCACCCCAGCGCAATGCCCAGTCAAGGAGCCCTTACACCTCACGCCAGTCGTCGTTCTTCACGCAAACATGGCCGTTTTTCACGGTAACACTTCAACAACCCGAATCCTCCGACGCAAGAAAGGCTCGTCCACCACAATAACAAACCACAAGAGAGACCAAAAGCATTAGAACTCTAGTGTAAATAGGACTCTAAATACAAGCAAATGCTAGGCTATAAATAAGTGTAATCGAACTCCTTGTAACGGAGGATTGATGTACACAAAATACCCAGAAATTGGAGAGAATCTACACGATTACTAAAGACAAGCATCACACACAAACACGCATACTAGAGAAACCGAAGCATTGAGAGCACTTGTAAAGCATTTCGAAGAATAATAATAAGAGGTATATTTTTGTTTTTACCTTTCGTTTCGATGGGCCTTCATTGCATGCGTATGATTTTGTTCTGATTGAAACCCAAAAGAATCGAACCCCAACAGAGCTTTTGGTCAAGGATAAAAGGGGTTGTGTTTTTTTTCAAAATATTTTTTCGATCTACACCCCAGGTGGCCCCTTTTTTTTTAAAAAAAAAAACCATTTGATTTTCTAAGAAAAGAGAGAAAAAGATTTTGAAAAATTAAAAAAGGCGAGGCGGTGACGGACGATTTCTGGGTTCATTAAGAACTCAGGCGGTGGCGTGTTCATCCTTGGATGAACAAATGAGAGAATAAAGCTACATGGGGGGCACTCAGTTTCAAATGAAAAGAAATGAGAAATTAAGCCAAATCATTGGCTTAAATGTGCGACCCGTGAAGCCAACTGACCGGACTCGTTGCACAATGGATCCGCGTGTTTTCACGAAAAATTAGGTTAAATCCCATTCTGGTCCCCGTGAGTTTTAAAAGCGCATTTTCGTCCTAAATCGAATATAATCCTCAATTTTCTTTGCAAATTTATCCCTTAATTTTGCTTCTGTTCTAATTTAATCCCTACTATTATTATATATTATATTTTCATTATTATTACATTTTTTATTCCCTTATATATATATATTTATTTTATATACGTCGTTCTTATTTTATTATATATATTTATAGCTATTATTATTTATATTATTTCTATTATTATTTTTAACGTATATACATATATATATATATATTATTTATTATTATTATTATATGTATATTATTTCTATTTGTTTCATTTACTTTATTTATTTATTTTATTATGTTTACTTTTTTTTTCTTTTGTTTTTTATTTATTTGATATATGTTTTATTTTTATTTCTTTGTTTCTATATAATTTTCATTTCTTTGTTATTATGTTTGCTTTTTTCTTTATTACTATTCATGTATATATATATATATATATATATATATTTATTTATTTATTGAGTATATGTTTTTTTTTTGTTTTTCCCCTTTATTTCTTTTCCTTTATTTATCTTATTTATCATTAGTTTATTTTTATTGTCCCTTCTTATTTGTATCATTGGTTTTGTAGATTATTTTATTTTATTTATTTTCATCACTCCAAATCTAACGTTTTCTTCTTAAGGTTCTTCATTCAAATTTATCAGAGGTAAGTAATTGTGGATCGATATTTTACCGTTTAGTTTAAATCTACAACTTTCTTAATTAAAGACAACTGGAAATTACGTAGTACCGAAAGGGCAGTTAAGGGTGCTAACCATTCCTTGACTGTAATCGACTCCCGAATCCGACATATTACTGGTAAGACGCAGATCTGATAAGAAATAAGGTATCCGATCAACCCATTTTGTTTAAAGTAAATGATCAGTGACGGCTCCTAACTCATTAAATCCAACTCGAAGCCCAATTCCGGGTCCAATCGAAAGACGGTTGCGACAATATCTAATGTTAATTAATTAATACATATTAATAATTAAAAAATTAATTTAATTGAATCCCAGTAAAAGATCCGTAATAGATCATAAACATATATTTTATTTTAAGATAATAAAATATTTCTTTTGTGGGTAACTATAATTGTCACTTTAGTCTTTGAAATCCACAAATTCCAAATTCTATCGCTGATTTTTTTATTTGAAAATCTTGTATAAACAGTTATGAAACATTTGTGACTATCGTAAATCTCCATATGCATCTTAATTAATTAAATATTTAACAGTATTATTAAAAAAATATCTGATACAAATCAAAATAAATAAATAATTCTGTTCAGAATTATTATTATTTTTATAAAAAGTAAAAAACTATAAATTTCAGCCACTAATAAGTACTTTCCAACTTAAATTTTAAACACTTTTGTAATGAAAAACTATGTTACTTTTTTTTTTGGTAAAGATCGCAAATGAACCCCCATATTATTGGGTACTACTTTATTAATTTTTCGATTATTAAAAGTTATAAAATAGTCTTTTGATTTTGGAGTGTTGCTTTGTTGAGTCCCTCAACTATTCAAAAGTTATAAAATAATCACCCAATTATTCATTTTGTTGCAAACTCATCCTCTTCCGTTAAAAATTTGGTGATTGCTTAAGTTAGATATTAACATGATGACTGAGATATGATAGTCGTTTGAGATTTTGTGATCAAATTTTATCATATACAATCAACAAGTTAACGTTCAACTCAGAATATTGTCCATTTTTAACGAAAAATGATGAATCTAGAATATAATGAATAGTCGGGTGATTATGTTATAAATTTTAATAGTCGATGGACTTAATAAAACAATACCTTGTGGTCGGGGATTATTTGTGTTCTTTACCCTTATTTTTTTATTCTAGAAATATTTTTAATTCCAAAAATTAATTTGAAAAACAATAAAAATGGACTAATCCTATCCACATAAACTAAGGATAATTGGTTTCATGGTTGAGCTGACATAAACTAACAAGTCAAGGTGAATAAACGACAATTGTATCCCGAAAAGTGAAAGGAAGAAGAATCATTTGCAGGCCCGGCTCCTAACAAGAGCAACCGAAGCCATGTCGTCCCACCTTAAAAAAAACATAAAGGCCAACCAATTTAAACTTGACTCAATCCCATCTTCAATATTTTTCTCTCACTTCATTTAACTCTCAATTTATTCTCCCCAAATAAACTTTTAAACTTCTTCAAATCTTCATTAACGTTAACTTTTTTTTTTCTATTAATCTTACTAATTAAACCCACAAGGATACCAACCAATTTTATCTTCTCCGTCTCCCTTTCTCTTCTCTCAAGTTGCGGCTGTAATTTCGACACAATCACCGAAAATATTGAAGGTACAATTAGAGGCTTAGAGTAGAAAAGATTGAAACTTTTGGCATCTCCAACATTATAATCAATTTATAATTTCAATCACAAAATCAGGTTTTATTGCTCCTGCTTTTTCTCTTAATTAATCAAATTAGAATTCTTCAGATGTTGTATTTAACTAATTTTATTGTTTTGGGCATAAATTGAATTATTTTTTCTAGTTTATGTTTATTTGTTTGATTGCAGCTTTTGCTCTTACTCTTTATTTTATTGTTCCGCGCATTGTTTTTTTGATAATTTAATTTTAAAATTAATTACTTATTCTTCCATTACTTGGGGCTTTTTTTAATTTTTGCTCTGGTCCCCGATAATTACCGAGATGGCCCTGATCGTTTCATTGACATTTTAGTTCCATTCAAATGAAGTAGGAGAAAAATAAGATGTTTCCCACTTCCCAGGAAAAAAAAATGAATAAAGAAAGTGGAAAAAACGTATAGTAACGAAGCCATGAGTGGAGTTATGAATGAATTTCCTGGAAGTAGGAGGGGTACTGCTTCCTATTGTTGCAATACTAATATATAAAGCCCAAGATTGCAAACAAGTGCATTGATACGTAGTAGAGTCCAAATGGCATAAATTTCTTGTATGTCTTCAATTATTTCTTGTAGGTTTTGAATCCTCGACTTGAGAAACAACTATTTCAATGAGAGCATTCTAGCGTCCTTGAGTGAACTTTCAGCACTCAAGTGTTTAAATCTAGCAGAAAATTAGGTCACGGTAACAAATTCTATTGGTGGTAAATTAAATATCTAATTTTATATGAAACTTCCCACCAAAGTCATGGTTTAAACAAGTTTTTCTTCATACTATTGGTGACAGGTATAAAGATGTTATCAAAACTGAAGAATTTGAAGACTCTGAATTAGGAAACAACATCCTATCACAACTAGATGGTTTTACCTCTTTAAATCATTGCGTTTACAGGGTTATGGTCGAGACTTAAAGGAACCATTGATATGTTAGGTGCGTGGTTTCCCTTTTTGAATCTCATGCTTAATATGATGATCAAATTCATTTACATATATATTTTTTATTGGATATGAACAGAAGTTAGTAATTTGAGAAACTTGGAGGAGTTGCATGTAGGGGAGAATGAAATCGAGAGTCTCGGGTCTCGATTTCATGGTAACTCGTCTGACTTTATTAATAGCTCATTGTGCACAAAAGGACTGTCGAAGTTGAACAAACTTGAGGTGCTTGGTTTAAGTGGTGATCTCTTTAACACAACATATTTGCATCCCTTGCTGCGTTTCTCAAAATTGAATTCTTTGCATTTAAACGACAACAAATTGAAGGGGTCGATTCATATGAAAGGTAAAAAATAACTTGTACTATGCCAGCTTTTGGTTTCATAGGATCAATTCTCCCTTCTCAATTCTGTTGAATTTGAGCAGATAGTTTGATCAACTTAAAGAAGTTGCTTCTAGACAATGATGGAATTGGGAGCCTGGAACCTTTATTCCATGGTAAGAAATTGATTATGCTTTATTAATTGCTATTAGTTAAAAATATACTAAATACAATTTTTTTACACATGAATTTACGTTATTTTTCTACAGGAAAAGAACAATTGAAGTTGACTAACTAAACTTGAAGTGCTTGGTTTAAATAGTAATTTGCTAGACAACATATTTTCATCCCTGAGTACACTTCCAAATTTGAAGCTTTTGTATTTATAGACTTTAACCGATTAAGAGGGACGGTACATATTAAAGGCAAACAAAACTTTCTTTTACCGTCTAGTATATAATAATGTTGTTAATATAACAATTGTGATTCTTTCCTTGAGAGGATTTAGCTTTAATGTAACAACAATGGCTTTCATTCTCACAATAGTAAGTTATGATTTTTCCCACAAATTAAATTAAATTAATTTCCTACATACATTTGTGACATAATAGCTCGGTACTTCTTTTCATTGACTAGATTGGGAGATTTCGACAAATTTGGAAGAATTGACTATACACAATTCATCTCTCCTCCCAACTTTTTTTGGAAAGCTATCTTCTTTAAAGAAATTGCATTTGTCTTCTTGTTATGTCAATGGCAACCTCTTCATGCCTGGTAATTACATCGTTTGGTTACTGATTCTTTTTTATGACTTTATAAAATTGTTTTTTATCATACCATTTACATGATATAACTTTTTTTTGAACATTACATAACGGGGAAATTTGAAAAGTTCTGGAATCATCATCTCTACCGTCCAATTTCATTCAACTTATTGTATCACTCACGTCTCTTAGAAAATTCTATTCGAATAATCCTGACGTTAATCACAGTTTCTCTGTACATGGTAAAAGAGTAGTTTTTTTATCTTATAGTTGTGTACTTCTCTGGTGCATGATGGTTGTTTATTTATAGTACTATTACTCTCATAGATTTTTGTGAATCCACAAATCTCAAGAGTTGATCGTCTCCGGCAATGATCTCAACCGTATCTTACCGATGTGCTTCTCCAACCTCGTGTTTCTTGAAACATTAGATCTCTCTTATAATGAATTGTCTAGACATATATATGACCTTCATGGTCTAGCATCCCTGCAATGTTGGACCTATCGAACAATAAGTTCCGAATCCGAAGCTCACCAGGACCCTTGTTCAACCTTTCAGAGCTCAAGTACTTCCGCACAGATAACAACATCGTATATGCAGCTGATGAGATGCATTCTCTGGCCCCGACATTTGAGTTGAATTACATCAGTTCATCTTGTTGGGGACGCGTTGTAACATTTTCCGCTATCATCAATATGACTTGATGTATGTTACTCTCTCACACATATATTTCGAGCTGAACCAATTCCCAGTTTGGTTGTTGGAAAACAACACGAAATTAGAGTCTGCATCTTGTCAATTTCTCTCTATATGGACATTTTCAATTGCGATTCTCTCGACATTTAGTCTTGTCAGATTTAGATGTTTCTAACAATTTCTTCATTGGCAATATTCCGATAAAGAATCGGAGCTAATCTACCTTCATTGACGACTTTGGATATGTTAAGTTTTTTTTAACGGGAACATTCCCTCTTGTTTTGAAGATATGAGTTCACTGCTGTCATTGGACTTATCAACCAACCAATTGTCTGGAAAGGTTCATGAGCACTTGGCCACGGACTGCTCTGTAATGCTAAGAATCCCGAGTTAGTAGTTTCAAGTTAATCCAATGGTAATTTAGATAAACCTATCAACCTTGTAAGGAAACTTGGTCCAATAAAGCTTTGGTTTAGGCTCCACTTGAGTCCAATGGATGATAAAAATGGTATTTTTATGTTATGACCAAAGTTAAAGGGGCCAAAAGAGAAATTATACCATTTTTAGTTTGAAAGGTTGATTTCCATTAAAATTGGATGATCTCACATCTAGACACTCTTCTTTTCCTTATCTTCATTTGTCTTCTTTTTCTCCCAAAGCCTGCATCTTCTTCCTTTGTAACCTAGACAAAGGTGATAACTGATAAGTTGGTGGGCTTGTAACCATAGTTTGGCATTTTAAAGGTAAGAACTATAATCCATATCTTTAGAATTTCAAATCAAGCCCTCAACCTCTTCATTTCACCATGGTAGCCAAATATGGGTTTTGTAGGGGTTTATCAAACTTACGTGGTTCAATATGTTTCAGAGAGTTTAAGCTTTAGGAAGTGTTCTTAAACCCTTCTTAACCTTTAAATCAAGCTAGTAACTCAAGTATTTTGATTTTTTCCTAGTGAGAGGAGTTAGAGAAAGCTCCAAGGTCAAGGGAAATGAGAAGCTAGTGCATGGTTAAACTTTGGGTGTTTCTAGCAGCTTAGGAATTCAAGGTAACTCACTTCTAACTCAACTCTACAACTTGTAGATAACTAGGTGTGTTTGTTAGCTTGCATGAGTTATGAAGCATGATCACAGTAGATTTCAATGTTTAGTGTTTCTCAAAATGTTTATGGACCCTATTACTAGACATAATATTTTAATAACGTTTGGAGACCTTAGTAGGACCCATTAGAGTGTTGGAGAGGTGTTTTTCGTGCTCCAAAAATAGAGTATTCTGAGCTAGAGTATCGATACTAGAATAACAATACTGACATTGTCCTTCAGCTAACAAAAACAAGGGGATTTTGGGATAGAAGTACCTATACTCATACAATGAGGATCGACATTGTAGGTAAGGTATCGATACTCACAGGGTGGTATTTATACCAAGTTCACTTAGTATATTCTAGTAGCCATGTTTGGTATCGATACTCATGAGTATTGATACCAAGGGTAAAGTATCACATCCCCAATAGGGATATTGATACTTAGGTATTTTTCAAAACATCAAAGACAAATTCAGTATCGATGCTCAAGAAAGTATCGATACCATAGTCTAGGAGTATCGATACTCAAACTAAAGTATCGATACTAGCCCTTTTCTATCATCCTTCAATAAGTCAGTAGTATCGATACCCAAGTGTTAGTATCGATACACAGAGCTTAGTAGCGATATTGTTTTTTTTTTATATAAGGGGATTAATATTGGTACCCATGAATAGTTTTGGGTAAGAAACCCAATAATTTTAAAGGATAAATTAAGGGACCCAATAATACTAGAATGCCATCAAATAAAACTACAAGTGGAAACAATAATAAACTTGTAATAGTTAGAAACAATAATAAACTTGTAATAGTTAGAAACAATAACAACTAGGATGACATAAAAATAACCTTTCTTGATGCTCAGGACACAATTAGAACACTCGAGTTACTTAGCAGATAACGATTGTATAGTTTGGATATCACAGTCAGTGCCAAGACACTTCAGCTGCCAGCTGGACGTAGATGCCCTAAGACTCGACGGAGTAAGTTAGCCGGGTGTACATTTTTATGCAGTTTCGAATCTCACCCCAGATACCCAAGGGTATGTAGGAAGGCTAGAGGGATGTGCGAGCCCGAGATACAGAACCCTCAGCCACACCATGATGTCTATCTCACTATATCATATCAACATTTCCTTAAGTCTTTATACCTATGCCACTAGTATGCATATTTAGTGAATGCATGTAGTATAATACAATTATTAGCGTGGAACTAAGCTTGTATGCTTAGCGTTTGGAATGTGTTTCTGTGCGCAGGTTCTTAGGAGACCGTCCGTGGAACGTTATCGTCACTATATATTCCAGCTAACAAAGATCCTTAGAGTATGTCTTGATTTGTAGTAGAGGGCATATACTATTTTAGATATTTTTTATAATCAGTTGTAAATCTATTTTGATTTAAACTCATTGTATTATTTTAGATGATTTAAGAGCTCCCCAGTTTTGTGAAACTCAGGTTTATTATGTTTTTATTTTATATCACTTGAATGATTATTTTGAAATGTTTAAAGTTATTTTAAAAGAAAAAATTTGGGTTAGCCACTTTGGTGGTCCCGTGTGACATCGTAATATGTCCATCTTCAGATCGGACTAAATTTGGGTGTTATATTCAATGGTATTAGAGCTTAGGTTTAGTCTTTCCTAGGACGCACGGGTTAGATTCAGTTAGCGTCTATACTTGTACATGCCTCTAGAGGGTCAAGAGTATTATAAAGATTGGAATGGCGATAATAGCTTCTATTTCTTTCTAATTTAAGAGAAAACCCATGGAAAATGATCTAATTTAGTTAGGATTACTAGGACGCACAGGTTAGATTCAGTCAGCGTCTATACTTGTACATGCCTCTAGAGGGTCAAGAGTATTATAAAGATTGGAATGGCGATAATAGCTTCTATTTCTTTCTAATTTAAGAGAAAACCTATGGAAAATGATCTAACGTTTAGTTAGGATTACAGAGATGTGAGTCATACCTCACTAACGAACGACACCAATGACGAGTTTTTCGCAGACACGAATCAATAGGATGTACTAGTATATGTAGGGTTAAGGAGGTGACCTTCTTTAGGGACCTCAACCCTTAAATAGATCATTAGGGTCATACATAGTGCCTCAGCTGTACCATCTCCCTTATCAGCATCTCCACCCCATCCTATAGTAGTGCCTCAAGAGTCCCCAATAGAAAGGCTCTATAGATATAAGACTATTGAGTTCTTTGGTTTAGAGGATATTGATCTCGTAGCGACAGATCATTGGCTTAGAGATACCCTCTACACTCTTCAACAATTACACCTTACCCCCGAGGGTAAACTTGACTGCATCACCACCGTGCTCAAGGGTTACACCATTGATTGGTGTGAGATGATAAAGTTGACATTAGAGCCAAAGCAACCATCTTGGGAGTAGTTCTTATATGAGTTCAAATAGAAATACATTAGAGAGGATCACATTGATGATTTGAGGGAGCAATTCTTATATTTAGCTCAAGGGGATTGCTATGTGATGAAGTATGAATGAGAGATTTTAAGGCTGAGTAAGTATGCGCCGAGTTAGTTTTGATAGACGAACACCGCAATTCTAGATTCAGAGAGGGCATACACCTTAACATTCTGTCATACCTTGTTGTTGACCCTCCTAGGTCTTTTTTGAGTTATCTTTCCAAACAAAGGTTATTAAGAGATTCTTGAGTAGGAGGGCCAAATAGTCCGTGAGACTGTGTGACAGACTAGGAGAGTCGTTGTGCTGACAAGGTCATTGTAGACATATGCCAAGATGGTCAGGGATAGTTAGGGTCCATAGAGACCCTTAATAATATAGTCGAGGAGAGATGGTCAGAGTTCAGACCGTGGAGGTAGGTATGAGTCTAGGAGGATACCCCTAACGTCTCTCAAGAATGAACACCAGTGATTAAGTGAGAGTCTTCACTCATCCAATCTACACTCATCCGATCTACGTTCAGTCCGAGAGGAGCCCCTGGGGACATGCTAGCATGGATCTAAGGGTTGCTTTAGTTGCGATTTCTATACCATTTTATTAAAGATTGTTTAGGGGTTTAGGGAGTAACTTCAGTGTCGACTCAAAGATCAACAGAACCAGTGCAGAGAGGTTGGGGGACAGTGAAAGGTGGTAGTACTGCATCTAGACAACAAAGTAAAGGGACAACCATATCAGTGGCAGGTGCAGAGCCAAGGGTAGCCTCTAGGTAGTATACGGTGAGAGCCCAGGAGGAGAGTGATGCAATGGATGTGATATCAGGTACCTTCACAGTATATTATATTCTAGTTGTTGCATTAATAGATCAGAGTTCCACCCACTCTTACATCTGCTCTGACCTAATTTAAGGGATAGAAATCTCAATCGAAGACATAGAGGTAGGAGTTCAAGTTTTAAGTCCTCTAAGTCTAGTATCCTAGAAGACAAGATTCATCGATGATGTATAGTAGAAATTTAGGGTCAGATATTCTTAGTAGATTTGACAGAGTTACCATTTCGAGAGTTTAACATGATCTTGGGTATGGATTGGTTAACTGAGCATGACGCCAGTTTGAAGTGTAAAACCAAATAACTTAACCTCAGAGTGGATGATGATGTCAAGTTGGTGATGACTAGCAAGAAATCAGGATAGTCAAGGATCCTGTCAACTATAAAAGCTTAGCGGATAATCGACTAGGGATGTGAGACATTCTTGGCTTATATAGTCGACACTTAAATTTCAGTTCCAATACTTGAGGGTATCTGGGTAGTGCAAGATTTCTGTGATATGTTCCCAGAAGATTGTTGGGTTTACTACCTAACTGCGAATTAGAGTTTGGCATCAATGTAATGTTGGGTTCAACTCCAGTGTCATTGCTCTTACCCCATGGAACTGATAGAATTAAAGGAGTTAAGGCTTAGATTAAGGAGTTATTAGAGAAGGTTTAATCTTACCAAGCATCTTTTGTGGGGAGCGTCGATATTATTTGTTATAAAGAAGGATGGCTCGATGAGGTTGTGCATCGACTACAAGCAGTTTAATAGTTAACCATCAAGAACCGCTATCTACAACCTAGGATAGACGATCTCTTTGACCAACTAAGGGGATCGTGTGTATTTTCCAAGATCAACTTGCAATCAGGTTATTGTCAATTGAAGGTAAAGGATGGTAATGTGGCGAAGGTAGCTTTCAAAATGAAAAGGTCATTATGAGTTATTGGTAATGCAATTTGGACTCACCATCAACCCAACAACATTCATGGACTTAATGAACTGAGTGTTCTACCCCTTACTAGGATTAGTTCATAGTGTTGTTCATAGATGACATCCTTTTGTACTCTCGATCGAAGGAAGAACTTGACTTTCACCTCCGTATTATTATTTAGACACTCTGAGATTGACAATTATGTGCTAAGTTTGGGAAGTGTGAGTTTTGGTTGTCAGAGGTTTTATTTATAAGGTCATGTCGTGTCAGCAGACGACATCCGAGTTGACCCTTAAAAGATTTAGGCTATAATTGAGTGAGAATCATCTAAGAATGTGTCAGAGGCACGTAGTTTCCTAGATTTAGTCAGATACTATCGTCTATTCATCTAGGGTTTCTCAATGATAGCTACCTCGTTGACAAAATTGCTTTAGAAATGAGTCCTCTTTATGTTGGTGAAAAATGATAAAAGAGCTTCGAGCAGGTGAAGACCATCTTAACTCAGGCCTCAGTGTTGACTCAACCACATTCATATAAGAACTTCATGGTTTTTACTGACATTTCGTTAAATGGTATTGGATGCGTGAAGGAAATGTTGTAGCTTACGCATCCCGTCAGCTTAAACCACACGAGTGCAATTACCCCACCCATGACCTTGAGCTAGCAACACTAGTGTTTGCATTGAAGATTTGGCGATATTACCTGTTTGGTGAAAATTATCACATATTCAACGATCACAAGAGTCTTAAGTATCTACTCATGCGGAAATAGTTGAACCTGAGGCAACGTAGTTGGGTCGAGTTACTTAAGGACTACTATTGTATGATAGACTACCATCCTGGTTAAGCAAATGTTATGGCAGATGCCTTTAGCAGAGTTGCGAGCTCTTCTAGCACAATTGAGCTTGTCTAGTGAAGGTGAATTGTTAGCCGAGTTGCAAGTTGAGCCAGAGTTAGTAGGCGCGAGTAAGAGACTACAAAGTTCAGATGGGCGAATTAAGGCTCGGATTAAGCAGGTTCGCCAAGGCGAGGTACCAGGTTTTGAGTTACATGATTGGGATGTTTTGTACTTCAAGGGTCAATTGTTCATACCTGCTGACACTCAATTGTGTAGTAAGATCCTTCATGATGCACATTATAGTCCATTCTCAGTTCATCAAGGCAGTAACAAAATGTACCATGAACTTCGACAGTTGCATTGGTGGCTGGTCATGAAAAAGGAAGTGTCAGAGTTTGTCGTTAGGCGCTTAGTGTGTCAGCAAGTTAAAGTGGAACACCATGTTCTTTCAGGATCACTTCATCCCATTCAGATTCCTTAGTAGAAATGGGACAAATTGACCATGAACTTTGTTACCGAGTTACCCATGACCAGATAGAGGCACAATGTGTAACACCCATCTCCCGTATACCTTTCTGTATACGAGATTTGGTAGTCACCTTACTTTTTTGTTGAAAACATTTTGATATTTCGATACAAAAAATTAATTTAAATGAATTTTAAGATTTTCCAAATGATTTTCTAAGTATATTCGATATAATTATTCGAATATAAAAATATTACTCCAAATCTTTCAATTGTCATTTTTAATCCTTACTCAAGTGTAAAATTAAGTTTTAATCTTAAAATAATTTCAAAATAATTTTACAAAGTATTTCGAACCATTGCAAAGCCAAAAATTCCAGATTGTCCAGAGGGAACCGATTCCCCCTGAATGGTTTGGCTCTGAGAAAACTAGAATGCTCGGAGGGAACCGATTCCCCCCAAGGGGTACCGATTCCCCCTGATTAACGGTCGAAATATTTGAATTTTACACTTAGAGAACTGATTCCCTATGAGGGGGTATCGATTCCCCCTATGCTCCAAGTTGTTTTATTAATTGATTTCACACTAAAACGGCTCCATTGACTCCACTAATCATCCCCAACGTTGAGAATCAATTGAAGGAGTATTTAAACAAGCTTAGAAGCCATTGATCAATAACAAGAAACAACAAATTATCAAGAATTGAGAGAGAATCAAAGAGAAAGCATCAAATTCAGCACTTCAAGCCTATTTTTCATTCAATATTCATTGTGTTTTCAAGAACACTTATTGTGTTCAATTGTATTATTCTTGAGTGTTCTTTCTTTGTTCTAGAATTGTGAAAACATCTTGCCTTGTGAGAATTTTTTTTGTAAGTTTGCAAAATTTGTATTGTTCTCAAGAATTTGAGGTATAATTCTTGAGGGATTTGTAAGGTTACTCTTTGTCCTCAAAAGAAAGTCAAATTAGTGAATTTATGGAAAATCCTTAGTGTGGATATCTAAGGTAGTGGACGTAGACTTTGGTTGATAAAGTCGAACCACTCTAAATCGCTACGCAATTACTTTCAATTTTATACAAAGCTTCCACCAAAATTTTAATTTGCCAATTCACCCCGCTCTTGGCCAATTCCATCGATCGATTAAATCAACAATTGGCATCAAAGCCTCACTCATTTGAAGGTTTAATCGCCTCTCGAGTTGATTCGGGAAGAGTTACATCGATATTCAAGTCATCAATGGCCGACGCTTCAAACTCCATCTTCAGTCTTGATTCATTGTCCGCCAAAAAGCATCCTTTCTTCAATGGAGCTAATTATGCTTATTGGAAGAATAGGATGATGTATTTTTCATTCAAGCAAGTGACATGGGAGCATGGAATATCATAGAAGATGGATACATCAAACCCTCCACTCACCCGAGGTTGTGGAGTGAAAGAGAGACAAGAATGTTCTAGCTCAACTCCAAAGCTATCCATATTATCTTTTGTTCTCTTGGACCAGATGAATACGGGAGAGTTTCATCTTGCACAACTGCCAAGGAGATATGGGATAAACTACAAGTCACTCATGAAGGCACAAACGAGGTAAAAGAATCTAAAATTAGTCTTCTAACTCATAACTATGAAAATTTCAGGATGAAACCGGATGAAGATGTCAAAGCTATGACGGATAGATTCTCCATGATTGTCAATAGTCTTAAATCATATGGAGAAATCATTTCAAATGACAAGCTTGTGAGGAAATTAGTTTACTCTCTTCCAAAAGCATGGCAATCAAAGAAGACGGCGATCATCGAGGCTAAGAACTTAAAATCCCTCGATGAACTTATTGGCTCTCTCCTCACGCATGAAATGATGCTTTAAGAAGAGGAAGACCTTGAGAGAAGAGACGAGCCAAAGAAGGAGACGGTGAAAAAGAAGAACATGGGAGTTGCTCTTAAATCAACAAGAGATAAGAGTGATTTGGATTAAGATGTTGATGATGAGGAAATGATATTGTTTGCCAAACGGTTCAGAAAAATGATGAGGCCTAACCGAGGAAGAAAATTCAAACGAAATGAAGGCTTCAAAAAAGAACCAAAAGAGAAGGACTCAATAATTTTCTATGAATGCAAAAAACCAGGGCATGTCAAATATGATTTCCCATAATTGAAGAAGAAGGGTCAATCAAATATTAATCACAAGGCTCACGTGGCTACATGGAGCGATGAAGAAGGTTCCGATGAAGAGGAACAAGAAGTAGCAAACTTGTGCTTGATGGCATTCGGGGAAGATTCTAAGGTAACCTCTAATTCATTTGATTTAGATGGTTTATCTTATGATGAGTTATTAGAGGAATACAATGGGTTGGCTTCGGATTATGAGAAATTGTTTTTAAAATATAAAAATAATATCTCAAAATTAAAAAATGAAAATAAACTCATATCCAAAGCCAACAACGATCTTGAAAGTAAAATCAAAGATTTGCAAATCAAACTAGAAGAGTTTGAAAAGAAAAATTTGGATTTGATGATCATCAAAAGAAAATTGATGATCTTAAAGCTTCTTTTGATAAAGTTGGAACAAAACGTTTTGAAAATGGAGAAAATTCAAAATCCAACTTTGTTAGAAAAAGTTTTAAAATCTACAATCATAGAGGTCCCTGAAGAACCTCTAATAGAAAAATCGTTAGAAGTATATGGGTTCCTAAAGGACTCATTACTACTAAAGATAAGGATATCCTACACAAATGGATACCTAAGGGGGCTAGGATTTTGGAAACTAATGAATATGGACCCAAAAGAATTTGGGTACCAAAAATTAGAAATTAATCTATATTTGTAGGAAAAGGAGCATTGCTACAAGGCACGGGAAACAAATTCAAACTCATGGTACCTTGATAATGGATGCTCAAGACACATGATCGGAGACAAAAGCCGATTCATAGAGCTTAACGCCAAAAATGGAGGAGAAGTGACTTTTGGTGATAATTCAAAAGGTCACATCGAAGGTATAGGTACAATAGGTAATACCTCTTCCATACAAATTAGAAATTTCTTATATGTGAATGGATTAAAGCATAATATTTTGAGCATTAGTCAATTTTGTGATAAAGGATTCAATGTCATGGTTTGAAACTAATGGTTGTAAAGTTATTGACATTGCCAAATTTGATGCTAAAAGTGATGAAGGAATTTTTCTGGGTTATTCCTTAAATTCTAAAGCTTATCGAGTATTTAATAAAAGAACTTTAGTTATAGAAGAGTCTATACATGTTGTTTTCGATGATAATCTCCTTCTGATGAAGGATTCTTGTGTGAATGATGATGTACGCATTATATATACAAATGACGTTGGACATGAAGTTGGAGAATCATCATCAAAGGAAGAAACAAAAGATGAGGAAACTCATGATCCTCTCGAGAATTCAACCATTGAAGAAAGGGAAGTATCTTATCCAAGAGAGTACAACTATGTCAAGGATGGTGAAATTATAGGTGATCCATCTAAAGGGGTAACAACTCGATCTTCTCTTAGAAATATTTGTAATTATGTTGCATTTATCTCATGCATAGAGCCTAAGAATATTAAAAAAGCATTAAATGATTAACATTGGATTATGGCTATGCAAGAAGAGTTAAATCAATTTGAGAGAAGTAAAGTATGAACATTAGTTGAAAGACCTAATAATAAATCTACTGTAGGTGCTAGATGGGTGTTTAGAAATAAGCTTGATGAAAGTGGTAATATAGTGAGAAACAAGGATAGACTTGTTGCTCAAGGATACACTCAAGAAGAGGGCATAGACTAT